AATAATAACCTGCCATAATATTGAATATGTGGGCTTTTATCCTTTTTACGGTCAAGGACTAACCAGCAACGCATGTTAGACGTTGACTTATCCCTACTTAAATTTTGGGATAAAATTCCCTAGATTTGGATTCTGGTATCTTCTTCACTCGGTGAAAGACTAAACCGGTAATGCGTGTTAGGCATTGACTTATCCCTACTTAGAATTCGGGATAAAATTTTCTATGCGTGTGAAGCATGGATTTTAGAGTTGAAAGATGGTGTCTTCTATTGGGGCAAAGACGAACCTAATGCTGGAGAGGAAGAATTTTATATTCTATCTTTAGGTCTTCTTTTGGGGTAAAGACAAACCCAATACGGGAGAGGAAGAATTTTATATTCTATCTCCTAAAGCTAAAGAGAAAGAATTTTATATTCTATCTACAGTTGCCAAAGAAAACTCAAAGTGGGATCTCCACTTTCAGAATCCGAGAAGGTAAAACTAAGAGTATGATCTCCACTCCGAGCATCGAAAAGATTCGGATGATCCTAACTGTCAGAAGGTTTGAACCTAAAGGTGGGTTTCTCGTTTATCGATAGTGAATTATGATTTTAGCTCTAACTGTAGGAAGGTTTAATCAAGTGGGAGGTTTGAGACGACCCTAACTGTAGGAAGGTTTGATCGCTCGATTTGAAAGTGAACCTCTCATTCATGGAAAGAATCGAGAGAAGATTTTGGTTGTGGTCCTAACTGTAGGAAGGTTTGACCAGGTGGGAGGTTTGAAATGATCCTAACTGTAGGAAGGTTTGATCACTCGATTTGAAAATAGATAACTCGGATAACGACGTTCATCGTCTTCTCTCTGTCTCGAGCCGTGTGTGGACACCTATGAGCATTTTAGATGCCTACATATTCAAATCTCATCATGGTAAAAATTTTACTTCTTCGTTTGGGTCACTCTAGAGTCCTCTTGATTGTATTTGCTTCGTCGTTTCACACATTTTGACGTTTCACGTGTGTTCATTCACTTCTTTTTATAGCATCGGATAATCCTCTTTGACTTGGATAATCCTTTCTGACTCGGATAATAGAGTTCATCACCTTCTCTCCGTTTCGAACTACGTGCGAGAACCTATAAGCAAATTTTGACGCCTACAACTACAGATTGACGGTCTCTTCAAAACAAAGAGCAGAAGTCATCCCTACGTTTTAAGATCAAAATACAGATGTCATCTTTGCATTGTCAGCTGCAAACGCAGCTCAAATCTAGCTGCAAACACAGCTCAAACTTGGCCGCAAACGCATCTCATATTTAGCTCCAAATGCTTCAAATGCAGCTCAGATCCAGCTGTCAACACAGCTTATGTTGGGCCACAAACACAGACTCCGAATGCTGTAAACGCAGCTCAGATTTAGTTGCCAATGCAGCTTCCAAACTATTACCAACGCACTTTCTAAAAGCCACCAACGCAGCTTCCAAACCGCTGCAAACGCAGCTTCTAGACGCTGCGTTCGAGCTTCCAGACACTGCATTTGAGCTTTCAAACCACTGCAAATACAGCTTCTAGACACTACGTTCGAGCTTCCAGACGCTGCGTTCGAGCTTTCAAATGTTGTGTTTGAACACAGAATTCATGCCATAACATAATTCTTGCGTTTGACTAGTTCAAACACGAGCTGGATGGTTTCAAAACTATTTCTCACGATCCGAGGGGATCACAACTCCACTCAGGAGTGATTTAAGGGGAAATTACATCTCATAAGCCCCACAAAGGAGTGATTTTAGGGGCGGTTACACCCCTAATCACCTATAAATAGCTGAAAGATCAGCTTAGTTTGGATCTGGGGATCTTTGAGCATTTTCAGATCTAGAGATCAGCAAAGGGCTTCTTCAATCATCCGATCTTGGAGCATTTGGCTGACAAATTTGGAGCATCCTTCGGAGCTGCACTATCAACTCTTCCACAAAGTTATAACTCGCTCAGAGTTTCTTAACTCGTTAAGAGTTTTAAACTTATCACGCAAGTTATCCGCGACATCAATCAAGAGGATTCAACCGTGTTCCACGAGTTTAAACATCAGATCATCAATGAAAAGCAAACTCGACACGAGTATCGAGGGAGGCATCTCATCGACACCAAGAAGAACCTAGTTTTAAACAAAGGGAAGAATCTTCGTCGATCCCTTCTCTCTTTTATAATTCGGGTATCCGATATAAGAAGTGTAATTTCTTTTTCTAAGTTTGTTAGAGAGAAATTGTATTAAGAGAATTATAATTAATTCTTTTCCTAAGCCTATCAGAGAGAATAATACAAATCTAAGTCTTAATTGTCTTTTTTGAATTTTCCCACCAAACATTAACATTATTAAATTCTTGACCAACACTTCTAATAACATTACCATGAAATAGGAATATGAGTACTGGATCTCCCAACTTCAAGTAATGCATTTTGTGAATTGGATGGATTATGTGACGAGGAAGCATGTTTTTCGATAGAGATATGATAGAATTCTTGCATGAGATTAACTTTACGGCATATTAGAACATTAACCCGTTACCTTATTAGACTAGCAACTAGAAATATTACTGAAAATTCTTGTGTAATATTATAGCTCATTATGTCATATTATATAGTCATAATTATTCTTTCATCTTCAAATTAAATAAACATAGATTAATTTTGTGAATATAGAATTTACATTATATAACAAGTTATTACCTTATGTTAATGGTGTTTGCCTCTATACCAAATAATATATCTCGATCTACGTCAACGTGCATCTTAACTATCTTTTTCTTACAATTTAGATGTACATTGAACATTATTAAAACATCGACATCCTCATGGACACATACAAACAATCCTTCTGTATATTGCATCTGTGCCAATATCAAAACTGATGAATGGGTAAGTTCTCTAGTTCCTTTTATGATTGCTGCTTCTGTATATCTTGCTTCTGTGTGTTAATACTTGCCAGTAATCAGATTAACTGGAAAAATATCATGAGTTTCAACTAGTCGTCCAGTCTCAGCCAGGTAAATATATTGAAATCAAAATAAAACTACACAAGATTCTGCTTGAATTTAACTGGTTACTAATTGGTGGCTCTTTATGTATGTTTTTCCTCAGGGAACTCTTCAGAAATAAGGTTTTCGAATCCATATGATAAGTGTATCATTAGCAACATCAAAGACTTCATAAACCCTATGGATTATAGCCTTCATGTAGTCAATGTGCTGTCTTGAAGCTGAGATCCTTGAGCATGTTTTAATGATCGGATGTACATTATTCTCATCATTATTTTTAAGTGATCATTGCTAAACATTCATTATGAGTTCACACGGTTGTTTTATTTAGAGTTATGCGACAGAATGGAAAGAGAGAAATGTTATCCTGATATTGTAATGTTTAATGTTTTGATTTCGGGTCTTTGCAAGCAAAGGAGAGTTAGAGAGGGGATCGAGCTCTTAAAGGTAATGAAGCTTAAAGGATGTTATCCGAACTCTGGAAGTTATCAAGCGCTTGTTTATGGTTTGGTTGAATCGAAAATCTTTGTAGAGGCTAAAGATTTCATGTTTATGATGGTCTCTGAAGGCTTTTGCCCTAGTTTTTTGTCGTATAAATTGGTAATTGAGGGTTTTTACAGTGAGAAGTTTACCAAAAACCCCCTGCAAGTTTACAAAAAATCCCCTAAAAGTTTGCAGAAAACTCTCTGAAAGTTTACAGAAACCCCCCCTACAAGTTTGCTGAAAAACCCCTAAAGTTTGTAGAACCCCCCTGAAAGTTTGCAAGTAGATCCCTAAAACTTACATATATATAAAAACATCATAACTAAATGGGTTATTGGTCACCCATGAACCACCCATTTAGTAAATGTGTGTATGAGAAGTGACCCATTTAGCAAATGCAAAATGGGTTATAAATGGTCAAATTGTTATAAAAGTGCCCACCCATTTATGACCCAACCAAAACACAACCAAAACTACTCATTTGACAACCCTAGTATATGGGACTTCATAAGTCAACTTCATTGGGCTTGGACACAAAGTAATTCTACTTTGCACCTCAGCCACTAAATTACTAAAGGTCTCATTGATGTTCATTGGAATCAAGTGACTGTTTCCTTTAGAAGTCCATTACTGCACAATACAACTCTTCATCCATTACTGAAGTTCATAAAAGACAAAATAAGTGGAACACAAGTTTAATATAAATTTTCTTAATGTATACGATGTAATTCAACATCGACATTAAATATGTAATTCTCTATGTTTCTGCATAATATAATTCAATATCCATCCCTAATTATTTGAAGACAAATATTTTTTTTTATTTTCTATAAAAATGAAAAATAAATGGTTTTTATTTTTGTGTCAAATAAAGAAAGTAACAACTTTTAACTTTTCATAGCACTTTTTAAGAAAGTATAGCACTTTTCTGACGCTCACTATACATGATATATTCAATAAAATCAAAGTTTTTTCATGAGAAAATAGTCTTCTCAACAAAAGAAATGTTTTCTCATGTAAAAAAACGAGTCTTTTCCAACAAATCAAGATATGAAGATGGGATCTCAATCACTTTATGGTTACCTTCAAAGGTCTTCTTTTACTACAAGAAACGAACATAGGAGATCTCAACCATATGTAGAACTAACGTCCTCTATGAGGAGAAATATTAATGAAGGAGAGAGATTCCTAAAGAAGTGGGTTTGATGGAGTGGGAGAGCCATCATTGCCATTAATGTGATGTCCTGTTAGCGGTCTTCAGAAGAAGAGAAAAACGGCAGTGTGGGGTTATTCTTTTTTCAGAAAAATACCATATAAAGATAGAGAGGTGTTATGGATATTGGGTTTAAAACTAAGATATGGGCACATTTGGTTAAAAGAGAAAACCCCCTACGAGAATTGAGGGCCCAATAGAAATTTATGCACAAAAACCCAATAGAGCCAGCGCGTGGGCCCATCCCGACTAGTGCTCTACGAAATGACAAGCCTTCAGCATAATATTGTGGTGACGTGGCCTTAAAAACCAGAACCAACGCATTCCAGCGATCCCTCGATGGCGAGCTCAGGATCCGACAAACCCTTGAAAAAGATCGCCGACGCCTTCGAAGGTCTCGCGGCGACCTCGTCATCCTGATCTCGCCAATCAATCGTTCTCTCCTTTCGATTAGGTCGAGGATCTGACGGGGGCGTCGGCGTCGATCTCGACGCTGCAGTTGCTGGTCGAGGAGGACGTGAGAGGGGATCGAGTTAGGGCAGGGGGGAGCCACTCGAGGAATCTGCTGAGGGTGCTGCGTGGGCTTGACATGGTTAGGGTTCTGTTCGAGCAGATTCTCGTCTCCGAGTATGTTTTCCTGATTTGATCTCCCTGATTGTCTGCAGAATTTTCGTGTTTAGTGTTCAGATTGTTATCTATGAAGGGAGCAGAAACTGAATTAGGATGTTTGCGGGTCTTTATAACGTGGGTTTGTTTTTAGTGTTATGCTTGCTATTGCTAGTTCTAGACAATCTCACTGTAATTGTGATGTGCAAAGACTGATGAGTGTGCTAGTTAGGAGTAATTGTGATGCTAAGATTCTCGTTGAAGGAGCTAGTTGGACTAGTGATTGACTTAAAATAACATAGAGCTAGGCAAAAGAGTATGATATGCACCAATTTGAATTTTGAAATGGGATATAGACTTAAACATATTTGAATGGAGAAGAAGGATTCATGTACCAACCTCAAAGATTTTGGTAAAGGCTTTATTACTGTAGTTATTCTTCCGTCCGCTAATGAATATAAACATGCCCTCTGGCACTCTGCATTATGATGGAGTAATTCTTTTCCCCATTAGGCGATTTGGAAATTTAGTTGCATATTTATTAAACTTAAAGGGATCAAGGAATGATGGATAATTTATCTCTTGATATTGTTGAACCACTTTTCAAATAGTGTGTTTGAATTACAAAATGGCACATGACTGGCATCACCATTTAATTACTGAAAAAAAAAGGTTTGGTTAAGCTTTATGAAGGAAGATGTAGCATACTCACAATAGTACCTTGACAAGTGGTGCATAAAATTAACCATCACGATTATGTGCTACCCAAACAGTTAAAATAAGAGGATATTTTTCCACATACATTGAAGATTTGGGAGATTTGTAATGTTTCTAAAAGCTAGCCTGTGCCCCTGGCCAAGCGGTTATGTATGTTTGATGACACTAAAATTTGTATGATTGAGAAGCATAGGTACTTGTAGTAAATTTAATTTCTTGATCGCGATGTATGTGTAACACTTTGGTTCCAAATGCATGTTTCTATCAATGTTTTTCCGATAAATGTTTTCTTCATATTTTGTCAATTACCTAGATATCCTTACGCATTAGTTGACGGAGGACCTTTACTTTCTTCCATTAGATGATTTGTAATTTATCCGTGGGGGCTTAATCGTAAATAGTGTAGAAGATACATGAAAGATGATTTGTAATTCATCTGTGGGGGCTTAATCATAAATGGTAGGATTTATATACGATTGGAGAGTTGGTCTCTTGATATTGTTGTTGGCATGCCACTTCTAAAACTATAAAGGTTACATATTATACAGTATCTCTTAACTAAGTAAATGTATCCAAAAGGATCAACTGAAAACCCCGCACTTCATTTTGGTAATTTATTAGGTATAACCCTCTATATTCTTGCAAAAATGAGAATTTACAACTTACAAAAAATCTAGTGTCAGTTGTCTTAGTTGCTTCCAAATTCATACTCAGGGAGTTGTTGGACCTACAAGGTCAATTAGTGCTTAGAAGCAGGCAATGTTTTAAATATTAGCCGATAAACCGATATTATCTGCGATTTATCAGTTTTGAGGGCCTTCCGTTATGATAAGTTCGATTCTAAATCGGTCATCATTTTTGGATGTTTATCGCCGATAATGTAGCGATAACGTGAGTTATCGGCTGATATTGTTGGCCAAAAATCGGAATTATCGGCTTTTGGCTTTTGGTTTGAGTTTTGATTTCGAGCAGCAGACACCTATTCAATGCACTTTAAACCCGAACCAACCTGAGTTTCTATCATTGGTTAGTGATCCTAAATATAATTATTTATATTTTGGTATGTTTATATTTCATTAAGTATGATTAGATTACATTTTAGAATATTATATTATGTATATCACCATCCAGTAATGTCACTCCGATAAATATTACTCATCCCCGATATATTCCCCGTTATCTGCTATTCAATATGGATTTTGACATCCCGATAAGTCACTGATAACTGAAATTTAAAACCTTGAAAGCAGGCACCCAATCATTATCATATACGAAAGCTCATATACGCAAAAAATCAACCTTTGCAGAATTCCTCTGATAGTGGAAGCAGTACACTAAAGAGGGAAATTCAGAGAAACTTTGTATTTTTTTTTATTAAAATCTTTTGGCCATCTCTAAATATTCTAGAAAATGAGTGTAAACTGCAATTTTTTTCTTCTGATATCAGTTATGACAGCTATAGTGGTTAGTCATCAATCATCAATGTGATACTTGCTCAACAATATTATGGAAACTAAGCTCATATTAGTTTATCCATAATGTTTTATATCCCAGTGCAGAAGCCCTCTTCAGATGTTCTTTTAAGGAAGTCACATGTAGTCTATTGATTCCTGCTTAAATGTTTGCTTTCAATATGGACAATCCTGAATTATCTAAAACAATAAGAAACTGGAAGCCATTTATGAACTTACATCAATTACAGCATTTTTCATGTATTATTGTCTTTTATTTATTGAAAAATTTCACCCTCGTAAGAGGTTTTTAAAAAAATGCGATATCCATTATCCACTATTTCAGTTAATGGCCTCCATAGTGTTGTGTGTTCCAATAAGTTTCAGGTTTTTCTTTTTGACCTATACATAGTGTATTTTCACCAGTGTTGTAAAACACGCTCTGGGCGGTCGCCTAGGCGCCCGCCTAGGCGGAGGCGGTGCCCAGAGCGTGCAAAAATGTCCTGGGCGGTCGCGATTAGGCGCTACGAGCGCCTAGGCGCCGCCAGGCGCTGATCAGGTCGATTACACGGGCGGCCTCACAAATTTCAAGCCCAAAAAAAATCCCTGGGCGCTCCCCAAGAACCCGAACCAAACCCAAAACCAAACCAAAACCCAAACAAAAAACCCAACCCTAAATCTTCTTTACAGTTTCACCGACGCCGCCAGCAAAAGGAAAAAATCGTTCTTCGATCTCGTGCTGGAGTTCGAGCTCGTCTTCAACTTCGTGCTGGACTTTCGAGCCTCGTCCGACGTCCTCAACCTCGTGCTGGACTTTCGAGCTCGTCCCGACGTCCTCAACTCGTGCTGAAAAAAGAAGCACTACAAAATCATTTCTCGCTCTTTGTAAAAGGTAAGTAAACTGAAGACCATCTCGATTTGAGCTCATATACTTGCTATTTTTGGCTCTTTCTCCAGTTCTCTCTCTCCTTTTGATTCGATTCTTTGGTGGCTGAGATGCCTTTTCTTAGTTTTCAGCCTCTCGAATGATGAGAAATTCGAAGAACCCACTTCGCTACGTCGTTTTTGTTTAGTCCTTCTGATTGAATCACTAAATAATTTTGTGAGGTTTCTTTTGATTTTTGGTGTCTAAAACCCATTTTAGCAACTGGGTATCGGTCAAAATTTATCTGTGGCTTTTTATGGGGTTGCTGCTGTTCTCTGTGAAATGATGGAATTGAACGTTGTTTTTTATTTTTTCATGAACATTTGTTGAGGGTTGGTTGCTTATTGGGGTATTGTGGCGTCTCGATATTCTTCAGTTAATATGATGGTGGTATATGGTAGACATCTTTTGGATTTGGTACTTACTCACCAATTCTTTCTTTTTCTGTGTATGAATTGACCATTTCGAAGGATTGTTGCTGCCTTTGTGAGATTTTTGGCAATTCTTCAGTTAATTTTCTGTATGTTTATAGAGATGATACTGATAGTAATGTTTGATAGTAAGTTTATCGCTGAATGGGTGGTTCATGTTTTTGGTTAGATTTCATTATTCACTTGTGAGGATTTTTTTATTATATGTTCTTCAGTTTAGCAGGCATAGGAAGGAGGATTTTGTTGTTCAAGCTAAAAGAAATTGAGTTGAGCTGCTGAGAAACTAAATATTCATGCTCCTTTACATTTGTCTTGTCATATTCACTCTCTGCATGTTGCTTCAAGCTACAACTTGTACATTACAATAATTGTGTATTCTTGTATCTGAAGTTTTGACGCTGCATGAAACTATTAATATTCAGTGCTCCGCCCTACAATTTGGATTTGCAGCAATAACGAGATGAAGTTACAGTTTCTTGGACCTACAAAATAGAACAATAATTAGTTGCAGTTTTTGAAGTTGCAGCAATAACGAATGAAAGTACAGTTTTTGACCTACAAAAATAAGTTAACAGTAAGGGAAATTACACATGTGAGAGTTTATATATTTCTTGTTTTGAGATTCTGTTTTAAGAATTACAAATTGAAATTGTTTAACTGTATTTATTATTTAAGTTTAATTGTTTAAGTTTAATTTTAAGTTTAATTGTTTGATTGTTTAAGTTTAATTTTAAGTATATATATTTATCTTCAAGTATCATAATTAAAAAAAGAAAAACCGCCCAGAAGAAAAAAACCGCCCAGAAACCGCTTAGGCGCCCGCCTAGGCGCCTAGGCGCCTAAGCGCTGGGCGCCAACTCCGGCGCCCAGGAGCGCCCAGCGTTTAATGTAACATTGATTTTCACATTTATGTTGATGTTTAAGTAGGAACAGGATTAATCTTAATTTCTGATGCAGGGGAAATTCTCTTAGGGATCCAGCATCAGTGGCTTACACAAAGGTCTTTGCACCCTACCATGGTTGGGCTATCAGAAAAGCAGTTAGTGCAGGACTTTTTACCCTTCCTTCAAAGTCACAGCTCTTGAAAAAACTGAATGAAGATGGTATATTCTCTAAACTAAATTCATATGTCACAATATTTATTGCACATTGTTCAGTTCTCATAACCAGTTTGTACTTCCACATAACATCGGAGGAGAATTAACATTCCACGAGGGGAAGTGGTTAGATTTTGTTTTATAATATTTTTTTTAAAAGGAAAGAAGATAAGACTGAAGGCTTCATACCTATTACTATTAGGATTTCACACCCTACAACCACTAACTGAGAATTGCTACTTTCGATCATTAAATCATCATTTGATTATTACCAAGGAAAGGTTGTAGTATTTTAATAGTTAAAACTATCTTAAGCCCTGAAAAAAATATATTTCTAAAAAAATTACTAAATAGAAGATTTGATTTTATTTCAGGTTTACAACGAGATTTGACAAATAAATAAAATAAATGAACTTCTGAAAATTTTTGGAAAAAATAAAAGTATATATATTCTTCCTTAAAAATTGAGAATAACAATTTAGAATCTTAGACAAATTTCAATTTATTCGATTCTGGGTTTGGTTACACTTAGTTGAAGACTATTTGTAAGATTCAAATCTAACTATGGTTTAGGTTTGGACTTTGGGTGAAATTTTAGCTGCTGACTCAGTCTCTCAGTTGGGCTTATGCTCTGGTTTTTGCCTGGACTCTGAATTAGATCTGGTGCTAGCTTTAGTGTGATGTTGGCTAGACCTTGAGTTTAGACGAATTTAAAAAATAATGCCTTCTCAAAATGCATAAACATTGTATGGGGGTCGAGAATCGTGAGATCTCTTTGATGAAGGATGACAACAGTACTGATTTTCCAGAAAGACTTTGTGTCCTCGTGAATATATCCATGAACAAATGCCGCATTATTTTTCAGCCACCGATGTCCACCTTTCTCTTTAAGCCTACATTTCGCTCACAAATATAATTCTACATCTGTCATGGTAAGAAAATGAAATTTACAGCTCTTCTGTCCAGTTTTATATAGATAATCGAAAATTCGAAATCCCAAAAATGAGGTACATTTTCCCACTTGCAAATGTAACTGGATTTTTTTTGTTTTAACTGATGATAGATTTTTCGCCCTGAATACTAAATAGTGGAATAGTTTAGTAGGAGAGGCGACGATTAGAATTGTTTTAATTTGACAAATTTGACAGGAAAAAAGATAGAATCAAAGGCTACATATCGTTGCAGCGGCTTCACCTCAAATTAGATTCCACACCCAAAAATAACCAACCAAAAGTTGTTTTTCATTCAGTAAATCATCATACCCCATGCTTAGAAAGGACGGCTTAGTCTCCTAATAGTTAAAACTAACCAAAAAACTGAAAAAAACCCAATCCTAAAAGTTAGAAATTAAAAGGGTGTCCCTTAAAGCATATAAAAAGATTTGGAAAAATAAAAGATATTCTGTCTAAAGACTGGAGAAATTAAACTAAAGACATCCTGCTTTTCCTAAAACTAAAAAAATTTACTAAAATGGTTCAGAGTCGTAACAAATTTTCGATCTCTAATATATTGAAGGACAAATCTTTGAAATAGACCACTTTTAAAACTTAATTAGCAAAATAGACCGAAAAAATATTTAATTAGCAAAATAGACCATTTTTGTTAAAAGTTGATCTATTTTGCTAATTAAATGTCAAAATTGGTCTATTTCAAAATTTTATCAATTTCAAAACTATTTTGTTCATAAAAAATTATAAACATGATTATATATGTATAAATTGTGAAAAGTTACATTTGATGCCATTATAATTTTCTATTTAATTGTAAAAAGTATGTTTCTGAAAAAAGACTTGGAGTAAATTTAGTTGTGCATTGTTCTTCTACAAAGTGTTGTGTTGTAGTTAACAAATATATAATATAGTAAAATGAATTTTCATTATCATTACTATATTTTGAAATTATAACTATAGTTGAATTTTATGCATGCAAAGGAAGACCAACATTAACTTCAAATTAAGAAATATGATAAAAAAATAAGAGGGTACACCTACAATATAAAAAATTGCCATGACGAGGTGAATATGTAGTTAATAAAACAAGAGGATACATATATATAATAATAAATAGAAAGTATTGTGATTTTTTTCAAATAAGCCAAGAAAACATTTAATTAGAAAAATAAACCAAGAAAATATTTAATTAGCAAAATAGGTCAACTTTGACTAAAAGTTGGTCTATTTTGCTGATTATGTTTTTTTTTGGGTTTATTTTGCTAATTAAGTTTTAGAAGTGGTCTATTTCAAAGATTTGTCCTATATTGAACTGTGCTGGACCTCATGCAATATCCAAGCCAACTTCATACAGACTCTTTGTGCGCTTCCGTTGAGTTGTTGAAAGAATGAATTCAATGAACTTCCCTGAACCTACATCAGTTTTACATGTTTTAAAAGTTAGAATGAAGAACCATACATTTTCTGACCTGACTAGAATTTTAATGCTCGCAGAGGCATCAGCAAAGATTCAGATGCAGAAATATGTAACCTCAGCTGCCCCCGTCATTCACTACGTCGAGGAATTGTTCATCTCAAGAGAATTGGGTATCGATTGGTGAGGAGACTACAGTCATGCTTGCTAATACTGATCTATATGACCTATATTTGCTGCTTCGTGCATTTAAATATCTTGAACGTATCGGAAAGCCGATGCAAACCCAGGTAAAGAAGAAGAGCTTGGATCTTCAAAACATGGCATGCGTGTGTCATGCTCTTTTCCTACAAATTCATATTTTTGTTGTGTTGTGGTGATGTATTTTGGCATTTGACAGTAATATAATTTACAATATTTATCTGTTGATTTGTTAGCAAATTTCTGGCCTGTTCAAACTTTTGATGTATTGTTAACCCAATTCATAGAAACTGATCGACCTCGTTCGTTTCTCTGGTGGGATGGTCTGTTCGTTTGACTCCGATTGCAGGATGTGTTATGTTTGATATAGTTGTCATGTTAATAATAATTTTTTGAATTTATTTGATGTGAATTTACTTGTTGTCTGCGTTCATGTGGATCATGGGACGTAAGGGAACCAAGATGAACATGGATTCTGTTTTTTTTTTTTTTTTTTCGTTTGTTAGTTAATATATGGTAGCTGTTTTTTTTTTTTTTTTTTTTTTTTTCGTTTGTTAGTTAATATATGGTAGCAATGTGTCGATAAATGAGCTACCAAGAGATAGCCATGTGACGAGAGACCCATCTTTGAAGTCATACTAAAAATGTGTAGGAAGCCACGCTTCTATCGCTCGGCAGCTCATTTTGCTAAATTAGTTACAACCATCAAACCCTTAATATATCCACGTACGGTTGATGATGGAAAACAAATTCAAGTGCGGTTGCGACATGGATAGCGGCCTCATTAACTACGTTAAATGCGTGTTTCTTGTTGCTGCAGCACGAGTATGGAAGCAGAAGACCCATCGCAATCCTCGGACGCGAGCATGTCTCGTACACCCGAGCTCTCGGCGGCTCCGCTTCCACTTCCTCGAAGTTCTTTGGTCGAGGCAGCGAGTTCGCTCCCTGTGTCCTCCCCGACGTAGCAGCAGCGTTTGTATCCCCCCTCGATCGACTTGATGCCTTATGCCTCCTCCACACCCCTCAGCAAAACTTCTCGGACCCTAAACTGCTCGATTTATTCATATCTACAACGGCAACTGCCACTCATAACCATCGCTCGAGCTTCTGCTTCCCTCGCCCCCCTCCTCTCCGCCGGCGACAGGGAAATGAATACCTCGACGCTCAACCCATACACCCCGCCTCGTCGCCGGCATCCTCACCGCTATCGCCAATGCTCGCGGTCGTCGGGCCCCCCCAGAACAGGACGCCGATCTCTTGTGCCTGGAATTCTTGAAACGCGAAGCCGGGCCGACGGCCCGATGACGTCGGGGTACGCAAAATCCCGACGGAGCCACGGCAGCTTGATCGCCGGATGTCCGCGTTGTTGGTCGCATGGCGAGAGCCGTATCAAGTCCTTGCGTTGGAAAGGGACGACGATCAACGCGGCGCTCTTCGTTCGCCGCCACGGCGAGCATACGTCGTGTGCATCCTCTCTTGACCGGGCAAGGTGATCGAGTTCTTTCCATTGTTAACGGCTGCGACGCGGACTTTGGCCTTGCTTGGCCTGCTTCGCTAGTCGTAGAAGAGGTTATGGACGCGCGTCCATGTTCGCGCGGGGTCAGATGGAGCCGCCTTCGTTGTGGGCGGAATGAGGCGTGACGCGGCAGCGGCCGTACGAGCTGCTGAGGTGGAGGACGTAGACGCCAAGGAGGGGGCAGTTCCGGTGGCGGGAGAGCGGTCTCGAGCGAGGTTGAGAGAGGGGGACGGCGTCGGTCTGGCTAGGCCAGCGACGATGCGAGCTCGGCGTGGGGTTATTTTTAGGGTTTGGAGAGTGCGCGCGTCGCCGATGGGCGTAGCGCGTGGCGGAGGGGGTGTAGAGGTCGGAAAAGGAGCGGGCTGCGCTATTGCCGGTGCCCAGGATTCTTAGCGAGGAGGAAACAAGCGTGTTAGGCTTTCACTGCCAAAGAGCTGCTCAAAAGGATAATTAGCACAACGCACGTATACATTAATGAGTCTTCGGGTTCTCAACTCAAGTGGAACACTGATTTCTGTTAGGGTTAATTTTCACAGACCCCCCCCCCCCCCCCCCCCGCGGATATGTCTTGGTCCCCATTGCGAAAAGGTCCATCCTACAATTCAGAAGACTCTTTGCATTTTGCTATAAAAGTCTGGATTTTCAGAAAACGTGGTTGGTAAACTCTCTTTGGCCGGAGGCTTTTGTTGGGTGTTTCCAAGTCAAAATTGGGTCTATGGTTCAAATTTTATCAATTTCAAAACTATTTTTTCATAAAAAATTATAAACATCATATTATATGTATAAATTGCTGAAAGTTACATTTGAGCCATTATAATTTTCTATTTATTGCTATAAAGTATGTTTCCTGAAAAAAGACTTGCGAGTTAAATTTAGTTCGTGCATTGTTTTCTACAAAGTGTTTGTGTTGCTAGTAACAAATATATAATATAGCTAAAATGATTTATTATCATTACTTATATTTTGAAATTATAACTTATAGTGAATTTTATGCATTGCAAAGGAAGGGACCCAACATTTACTGTCAAATTAAGAAATATGATAAAAAAATAAGAGTGGGTTACACCTTACAATATAGAAAAATTGCATGACGAAGGTGAATATGTAGTTAATAAAACATGAGGATACATATATATAATAATAAATAGAAAGTATTGTGATTATTTTCAAATAAAGCCAAGAAACATTTAATTAGAAAAATAAACCAAAGAAAATATTTATAATTAGCAAATAGGTCACTTTGACTAACAGTTGGTCTTATTTTGCTGATTATGTTTTTTTTGGTTCTTTTTGCTTTAATTAAGTTTTTAGAAGTGCGTCTATTTTTCAAGAAGATTTGTCCTATATTGAACTGTGCTGGACCTTCATGCAATATCCGAAGCCAACTTCATACAGACTCTTTGTGCCGCTTCTCGTTGACGTTTGTTTGAAGAAATGAATTTCAATGAACTTCCGTGAAGCCTTACATCAGATTTTACATGTTTTAAAAGTAGGAATGAAGAACCATACATTTTCTGACTCTGGACTAGATTTTAATGCTCGCAAGAGATCAGCAAAGATTCAGATGCGCCAGAAATATGTAACCTCAGCTGCCCCCGTCATTACTACGTCGAGGAAGGTGCTTCATCTCAAGAGAATTTGGGTATCGAGTGGTAGGAGACTACAGTCATGCTTGCTAATACTGATCTTTTGACCTTATATTGCTGCTGCTTCGTGCATTTAAATATCTTTGAACGTATCGCGAAAGCGATGCAAACCCAGTTAAAGAAGAAGAGCTTTGATCTTCAAAACATAGGCATGCGTGGTCATGCTCTTTCCTACAAATTCATATTTTTGTTGTGTTGTCGGTGATGGATTTTTGCATTTGACAGTAATATAATTTACATATTTATGTCTGTTGATTTGTTAGGCAAATTTCGGCCTGTTCAAACTTTTTGATGTATTGTTAACCAATTTCATAAAAATACGACCTCGTTCGTTCTCTGGTTGGATGGTCTGTTCGTTTGACTCGATTGCAGAGATGTGTTATGTTTGATATAGTTGTCATGTTATTAATTAATTTTTTGAATTTATTTTTGATTGTGAATTTACTTTGGGTCTGCGGTTCATGTGGATCATGGGACGTAGGGGAACCAAGATGAACATGGATAAAAAGCATTCTGTTTTTTTTTTTTTTTCGTTTTGTTATGTTTAATATATGGTAGCAAATGTTGCGATAAAATTGCAGCTCCAGAGAACTAGCGCATGTGACGAGAGACCCATCTTTTGAAGTCCATACTAAAAATGTGTAGGCAAAGCCACGTTCTATTCGTCGGCAGCTCATTTTGGCTAAATTAGTTCTACAACCATGTCAAACCCTTAAGTATATCCACGATACGGTTGATGATGGAAAACAAATTCAAGTGCGCTTGCGACATGGATAGCAGGGCCCTCCATTAACTACGTTAATGGGGTGTTTCTTGTTGCCTGCAGGCACTATGGAAGCCAGAAGCTACCATTTCGCAATCTCTTCGACGCGAGCATGTCTCGTACACCCGAGCTCTCGGCGGCTCCGCTTCCACTTCCTCGAAGTTCTTTGGTCGAGGCAGCGAGTTCGCTCCCTGTGTCCTCCCCGACGTAGCAGCAGCGTTTGTATCCCCCCTCGATCGACTTGATGCCTTATGCCTCCTCCACACCCCTCAGCAAAACTTCTCGGACCCTAAACTGCTCGATTTATTCATATCTACAACGGCAACTGCCACTCATAACCATCGCTCGAGCTTCTGCTTCCCTCGCCCCCCTCCTCTCCGCCGGCGACAGGGAAATGAATACCTCGACGCTCAACCCATACACCCCGCCTCGTCGCCGGCATCCTCACCGCTATCGCCAATGCTCGCGGTCGTCGGGCCCCCCCAGAACAGGACGCCGATCTCTTGTGCCTGGAATTCTTGAAACGCGAAGCCGGGCCGACGGCCCGATGACGTCGGGGTACGCAAAATCCCGACGGAGCCACGGCAGCTTGATCGCCGGATGTCCGCGTTGTTGGTCGCATGGCGAGAGCCGTATCAAGTCCTTGCGTTGGAAAGGGACGACGATCAACGCGGCGCTCTTCGTTCGCCGCCACGGCGAGCATACGTCGTGTGCATCCTCTCTTGACCGGGCAAGGTGATCGAGTTCTTTCCATTGTTAACGGCTGCGACGCGGACTTTGGCCTTGCTTGGCCTGCTTCGCTAGTCGTAGAAGAGGTTATGGACGCGCGTCCATGTTCGCGCGGGGTCAGATGGAGCCGCCTTCGTTGTGGGCGGAATGAGGCGTGACGCGGCAGCGGCCGTACGAGCTGCTGAGGTGGAGGACGTAGACGCCAAGGAGGGGGCAGTTCCGGTGGCGGGAGAGCGGTCTCGAGCGAGGTTGAGAGAGGGGGACGGCGTCGGTCTGGCTAGGCCAGCGACGATGCGAGCTCGGCGTGGGGTTATTTTTAGGGTTTGGAGAGTGCGCGCGTCGCCGATGGGCGTAGCGCGTGGCGGAGGGGGTGTAGAGGTCGGAAAAGGAGCGGGCTGCGCTATTGCCGGTGCCCAGGATTCTTAGCGAGGAGGAAACAAGCGTGTTAGGCTTTCACTGCCAAAGAGCTGCTCAAAAGGATAATTAGCACAACGCACGTATACATTAATGAGTCTTCGGGTTCTCAACTCAAGTGGAACACTGATTTCTGTTAGGGTTAATTTTCACAGACCCCCCCCCCCCCCCCCCCCGCGGATATGTCTTGGTCCCCATTGCGAAAAGGTCCATCCTACAATTCAGAAGACTCTTTGCATTTTGCTATAAAAGTCTGGATTTTCAGAAAACGTGGTTGGTAAACTCTCTTTGGCCGGAGGCTTTTGTTGGGTGTTTCCAAACGTCCAGGTTATCCGAAAAGGTTTTTGCGAGAGTTCTGGGGGCTAATTCAACCTTAAGGAAAACATACGAATCGCATCAAAATCAAGCTAAGCAACATTGCGAGCGGGGACGGTGTCTTGAACCTAAACGAACAAGGGGGTGCGGCTCCGATGATGTGTCTTTCGAGAATTTAATGTTTCGAAAAACTTAATTAACTCTCCAAGCCGTTTGAAAGTTGCAGCAGTATGTCGTGAAGTATCGTCGACGATTCCCGAAAGTTCATGATCTAGCTCCTCATGGAAACACCGAGGCTTATTCATCGGAAACTCCCGCAGTACATGTAGCGGGAGCCACCGTCCCCACCAGCTTCATTAGGTAACCCACACCCAAACCGCCTCATCACCACCTCACCTCCTCCACGACCTGAACAGTCTCCCACGTTCGAGCTCACCCGCAAGACGGCGAACACTAGCATTCATCAACGCCCCTCCCCGCCAGCAGCTGCCCCTTTCGACCAGAGCCGCCCGCAGGCGGGGGCCGTTCGGGGACGCCAGGGCCCATTCACGAACGGCCCGGAAGTTGGCGAAGACGCGCCGACTTGAGGGTCTGCTGATCACGCCCATGGCGACCATCTTCCGCAAGATCTCAAGAATGCGTGCTGTCTCCTTGCGATTTTTTCCCGCCCTTTATCGGGGTCCGCCTGACGATGGAGGACACCCAGGGGCGAAGAGGAGTGACCACGCGGCAGCGGGCGGCGAGGGACTCACCAGGAACCAGACGGCCTTGCTCAGCTGCATGCGTACTGGCGGAGTACTTGGTTGACGAAGAATGAGGCCGCATGAAGAGGAAGCCGAAGAGGCTCGTGGACCATGGAGGAGGAGAGGGCGAGGCGGCGAGCTCGGAGTTGAGGAGGTGCGGAGCCGGCGAGGACGGTCGCGGACGACGGGGAAGAGGTGAGGAGCAGGGAGGCGGACGTGTGAAGACGAGGAAGCGGCCCTTGCGGTGCGATGCTGTGAGCGTGATGGAGGTGCCTGAGGAGGAGGCAGGAGGAGCGAAGCGAGAGGAAAGGAGGAGGAAGCTCGAGAAGCGATGACCCACTTGTGGTAGCGGCGGCGGTGGTGGCGGGACTGCAGGAGGGCCCGGCGGGTCCGATCTTCACGCCCACGATGAAGGAGGTAGAAGTATGAGCCGAAGGCCGCCACCCGGTGCGGATCACGGCGAAGTCGCTCGTCGGGGTACAGCGAAGTCCGGTTCAGCCGGCCGTTGTTGGGCTTCTCCGGGGAGCCGGTCCGTGTAGCTTATGGCGGCGATCCCCGGCCCAGACGCTCCGGGCTAGGAGGAGAATGCCAGCCTGCAGGGAATGCATTATATTGCAGGCACACGAACACGAACACCGAACAAATTAGGTTCCCTCACTCCAGGGGTTTTTGTTCTAATTTACTCTATATTTTACCCCTCTCTTTTGTCCGAATACGTGTACGTACGTCAGAAACTTTTATATACATACATACATAAATACACGATTTTACTACGTACGTACGTACCAAGACGTCGCAGACGATTCTGGGCTGCTTGAGGGGCCGGAGGAGGAAATGTAGGGCCCGAGTAACGAAAATGATGGAGGTTATCTGCAGCATGAGGACAGGGAAAGCGAAAGAGGAAGATCTCTCGCCGGCGAAGTAACCGAAGGAATAAACCCTGAACTCGGAGGTTCCGTTGGGGACGCACCTCTGGTCGCGGCTGTCGAATCGGGAGGTCGAAGACGTCGCCTCGGGTGGACTTCGGACCCGCCATTGTTGCAGATAGAGAGATAGAGAGAGAGAGAGAGAGAGAGAGAGAGAGAGAGAGAACAAGAAATGAGTTTTTGCAATATATGACGATTTTTCTTGGAATCGGATTCCGACCGGTGATCATGGACGGCCTAGAAATGTACACACGCACACTTACTATTAATATCTTGTGGTTTTTGACGCACCAACATGCAACCATCAAGCAAAAAGAACCTAATCTTGGGAAGTCTTCGTCCACATCGCTTTTTATGAACAAATTTAATCATGCTACGAGCTAAAAGATGGGAACCCGTCTGGGATCTACCTGATGATCACCGACTGAAAAAAAAATATTTATTTGAATGGAGGCATTATTTTATTTAAAGGCCGTGCAATGACATTACAAGAAAAATGCCAGATATAATAAAAAAAAAGCAGCTGGTCAACCCGGATCACTAGGATAGTGATCAACTCAAAAGCATTCCTTGATGCTAAAAGAACATAATACCGAGTGGCTTTCTGCAAAATTCAGTCATCTGCTGCATTAAATTCAAGCTCAATTGTGCAGCTCAAACGCTCAACAGGTTAAGTGCGTTCTAACTTTAATCGGCGCCAGAAATGTACAAGTATGGTGATTTTGATAGGATTTCCAATAAACGACGAAAAAACTCAACCCTTGAATTTCCGTTACAAATTCAATTTCTGCAGCATTGACGACCATCAATGGAGCTAAAGAATGCATTAGCCTCATAAACTACAAATCCCTCATTGTGTTGACCCGAAGGTCGCATGAGGTCATTGAATACCAGGCTGCAAGTTACCCGCCTTGACCCCGTGATGAATTCTGCTCATGCTTTTGATCCTCTGATGAAACAGCCTGCTTCGCTAGAATATCATCATCTTCATCAGCTGAAGGAGTTGCAGCGGGACTAGTTGTGATCTCAGCACATGAATTTTCGCTATTGACACAAGCATCTTCTTTAAAATCTTCTCCTCTTGCTTCAATTGTATCATCTGTATTCGTTGCGTCTTCATTTGCTGGAGAAGCAATTGGATCTGAATCAGGTAAATCATCTGAATCAGAAATGCCACCAATTGACTCGGTTGGCTCATCGCTGCAATTAAGTAGACTTGACGGTCTTGTATCTTCTGCATTGTCCACAGTAGAACGTCCTGGCTCCTCTGTGTCAATGTCAGAACCTTGCATAAATATTCTTAAGCTGATTATATTGATATTTTTCACCAACTATCACTTCTTGAAAATCTGAATTTGATGCTGGAAATGAAAAAAATAATAGCAGAATGATCCTCACCAGTGGTATCAGTGGTGATCTCTATGGCTTCCTCGGATGGACCAGCATGTATATCCCCAGTTTTAGGTGCAGGAAAAAATTTCAAATCAAAAGTGATAGCATGTTCTTTACAATCTTCTTCATTTGCTTTGATCATATTGCCGGTATTCAGCCCATCCTCATCTGCTGAAGAAGCATCTGAATCAGGTAATTCATTTGAATCAGAGATGTCTTCATTCGACTCAGTTAGCTCCTCATTGCGAGTAAGTAGACTCAATGGTGTTGTATCCTCTGATCCTTTCATAGGACCATTGTCCACAGTAGAAGTTCCCAGTTCTTCTGCATCGCTCTCAGAACCTTGCATAGATATCCTTCAGTAGATTATATTGCTATTTTCACCAGATATGAACTTTTGCATTTGATGCTGGAAATGAAAGATAAAGAGCCAAGAGATCCTTACCAACTCTACCTTCTTCATGAGAAAACCAACCTGCATTTGTGGAGAGAGAGACACTGTAAGAAAATAGATCGTCAAATGGTCAGTGATGCTTCAAAATTTGTGATTATTCAAACGTTAAAGTTCAGAAATTACTTCTCTGGATCCTCAGCAGTATGATCAGATGATGTAACTTCCGCAAATCTATTGTCAGAGTCCATATCCTGCAAATGAAATCTGCAATCAGATAGAGACAATGTATCTAGAGGAACATTGAATGCTGAAATTGCAAATTCTATTTCAAGTGAGACATAAAGAATGGAACGGTAAGAACTTGTTGATTAATTTTATCTTAGAATTCTTCCCTGAAAATTAACTATCTCAGGCGTCAAGTTATATAACTAGTATCAACCAATAGCAGCATGGTTCATTGGAGAAAATAACATATAATTGTATAGAACACATATAAGTCAGTTCACCAAATTAGTTTTGAAGAATGATATAACCTCTTTGCAAAGAGAATATGCAACAGCAGAAGTAATGCTCATTGCGAAGGGAAATGTGAAATGCAGAGCTCGACCATTTTGCCAGGAAGTTGACTCTTTAACATGTTGAGTGACAGACAACAAGATATATGAAAGCATCTTTTCGTGAAGAAGGATTTTCCACCTTAAAAGTAGATTAGAAAGGGAGAAAGTAAAATTTTATTTTAAAAAATTCAATAATTGGCAGGTCTTTCGACCTGTTTGTTCAATGGAAACCATATAAAAATGACGTACAGAGATCAAACAACACTGCAAATGTGCCACATAAGAATATCAGTTAACTTTAAGGCAAACAGTTGAACAAATTATGATACCTACTATCACCAATGACCAACCATACTAGTATAGGAGCAGTAATGATGATGATGATAGCAACTTGATAACTTAGATGTCAACTAACAAGAAGAGTGAGTCAAAATATCATCTTGAAGGTTAGTCACAACCTCTTCAGTACCCTCATAGCTAATTGCTTCATTAAAATTGTTCGAGAGTGCGGCTACATCATCGTCCCTATCTCCGACGCTTTCATTGCCAAAATCCCTAAGCTGGTCCATCAGAGCATTAGGTCGTCTACAAAAATGAAGAACAGTGGCTTTCTTATACCAAATGTACAATAAAAAACATATTCAAAACATGGATTTATAAGACACTAGTTGTAAACAATACAGTATAGAGAAGGTAAATTTGCAACCAGTAAACGAAAAAGAACTTCAGTTGTTCCTAGAAAGTAATCATAGATATTGGTTTTAACGGAAGCAACTTAAGATGGCCTTTCACTTATAAACTACATGCTGAATGACCCCATTTTCCAAGATTCTATGCATCCGTTCTCATTGAAGAGACATAAACAAATGTAAACGCAATCATACTTACACGGGGTGGGAGGGAGAGAAATTCTTCAGAAAGAAATTGATTCTAGGTCTACCTTGTTTAAATCCAATAAATGGTAAATACAATCACTGATTGGCTTGATAGGAAGAGAGAAAAATTGTGATTGGCAAGAAGAGTTGAGCTAGATTTATGGTTTAACACTAGCTCACTCATCCAAAAAAAATGTTTATACATATACTATCCTTTTGGGAGAGATTTTGGAGTTGCAATCATCCAAAAGATGGAATTAGCCAAACTCTTGATGGGACAGGAGAGCTGATCTTATAATTTCTTAAAATGCAGAGCTCTTTACGCAAAGAAGATCAGGATATGGTTCATCTGAGAAGAACTTGCTATAGACCCTTCTCATTCAAACCCTTCTCATTCAAATGCAATAAATGGTATATTCAATTGAAAATCCACTGCAATCAAATTACAATAAAATAAATGGTAAACCCAATTGAAGATTCCATTCTACTCATAGTGATACACATAATTATATTTCCCTAAATCAAACGATTAACAAATCTTTAATTTCTTCCCCATGCATTAAGTTAACAGAAAATGAACATTGTAAAATAGTGAGATATTTAGATTGATAGTGTGAAATGACTTTTTTAAAAAATTTACTTATTAAGGGATTTTATGTATTTGTGTCACATATGAACCATAGACCTAACCAACTAGCTAGTTCCTGGTGTCCCTTCTCAAGCTAAACCGCTAAATATTTTCCTTTTAGGCCAACTCAATTTGATGTAAACCAACTTGAACAGTCTAAATCTTCAGTTCAAACTAACATTAAATGTGGATATGAAGAATTCTGTCTGTTTCTATATGTGAATGTAAATTTAATCAGTATCAATTGCCCAAGCAGGAAAATTCCACCTACCGTGTATAAAACTCAATTTTGCCCAATTATTTATTTTCATTGTCCCCAAAATAGTGTAAAAGTGCTAAATTAGTTATGACACCCACACATCAATGTGATATGATAAAAAATACTTTTCATTATTGTGAAGTGTTGATCTTTTGGCTAACATGAAAGGGCTGTTTGGTTAGATGGAAATGGAGTTACAGGAGTAAGTAGAGCATCTGGATTTGTAAATGCATTGTTTGGTTTGCAACTTTGTAATTAGGAAAGGTAAATGGACTAGCATTTTGTAGGAAAACTTGCAGCAAATGTACGAACATTTTTTTGGGGGGGGTGGGGGTGGGGGTACTTGCACGACAAAAAAAGAAATAAAAAAATAATTCCACCTCACCAAAAGAATATTTTTAATTCCAAAGAGAAATTCCTATGGCTAAAACAATAATTGGAGATGTCCAAACAACAAATTTGAAGTTAATTTTCGGCAATAAATGTTGCATGCAACATTTATTTCTACAACATTTGCTACAATTTATTTTTGCAGCGAACCCAAACAGCCCCAAAGATGCAGGTGAAAAGTGTTCGAGTTTGTCTCTAAATAGTTTAAGTGGAAAGTACTTAGGGTTAGCTTGGATAGATCCAATCCTAATACATTTGGTCTTAGGTTGCATTTTCCAAATGGATTTAGAAATTGACTAAAATCTTAAGAATTTCAATCCAATAGCTAACTCAAATCTTTTGGGCTGGAAAAGAGGTGTCAACCACTTTTTTGCTTATCCATATTTTCTTTATTTACTACAAAACTACTTTCTTGTATAAATTAATGAGTTCGAACTGACTTAAACTAGCAGCCTATGTAGCACGGACACGGATCCGACACGGCCATCCGACACGCCGACACGAGGCAAATCCTAAAAAATACATAGGATACGTGTGTTCGACACGTGTGTCCGACACAGACACGATACGACACGGCACGGCTTCATGTTATGCGTGTCCGTGCTTCATAGCTAGCAGCTAAATGAGCAGTTTTATGAACAGAAGCTCAATACTTAGGAAAGCAAGTGCAATGCAACAGATTCTCTATCCAAAGTTAAATGCAATGAATTTCAGCTAAATGAATGAAACAGGCCAAGATATTTAAAAAATGTATAAATAGCCCTTATTATGTATACAGACACGTATCACTACGTCCAAAAAATCTATTTGGAAAGTTGACGGAGTAATGACAAAACTTAAACGGATGCTACTGTTTACCTCAGTGTTTTCAACGGCGCGCGCCGAAGTGCGCCTCATGCGCCTTATGATGTGGGGCAGTGGCGAAGTACCCCACTTTTGATGCAGCAGCGCCTTTTGCGCCTCGCATACATCCTTACTTTGTGTAGGGTGCAGCTAGTACATATCCTCATATAGTTTTATTTGTTAACATTTCAATCGAGTCTTAATACTTGATATTCCACATCCCAAAATGCAAAATAAATCCATCAGGCCTTTTTAGTAGCCTTCAATTGAGGATCATTACCAATCCTTTGCTTGGATATTAGCCTCGATTTAACATTTGATTTGAAAATTTATGAATTTTGCTACTATGTTGGGTGTTAGTATTAGAAACTAAGGCATTATATTGTGATTTTGTAGTAAGATATTATTTATCATGATATTTTTCATGTGAATTCTAAAAAATTTTGTAGTAAGATATTATTTATCATGATATTTTTCATGTGAATTCTAAAAACATGTTCTTTCGCGCTTGATTATATATTTTGTTTATCATGATATTTTTCATGTGAATTCTAAAAACATGTTCTTTCGCGCTTGATTATATATTTTGAAAAATTATGTGGGCGGCGTACGCCTCGCATTACTCGGGAGCGCACATCGCATTGTGCCTTGCGCATGTGAGCGTAAAGATGCTTTGAGCCCCGCATTGCACCTCGCACATTGATAACACTGGTTTACCTGACAATGACATGCATCACAGACCAAACCTCAAAGGACACTCATATTTTGGAGAATCATGGACTATCACAAATTGAATAGGGATGGACACATAATCTAACTTCACATTGATCTAGAAATGAGTGTTTTTAGAAAAGGCATAAAACCTACCCACAAGCCCATTGGCAGACATTTTCAGTGGCGTTTCGTTTTAGGAGAATATTTGAACACCAAAAAACCCATTCTTTATTTTCCTGCAGAATGAATACACTGATTTTATATGTCAATGAAAGTTTAAAGAAAAATCACATAATATCTGCAAGAAATAGAAGTAGAAAAAATTATTGTCCATCAAAATTAAAACCAAAGGGAAACAAGCGTGATACGATCAATAGAAGAGAATTATAAAAAATGGATAATAATTCAGAATTCTTATTGTTAAAAGAATCATGTGATTCAAAATGCCCCCAATAACGGATTGAAAAGATTGGTTTCAAATGATCCTCATTACTAGTTGTCTCACAAAGCTTCCTAAGACTCCCACTCCCACTGTTTACCCAATTCTTTGTGTCAAGCAAATCAATTACAATAATCAAAACTTGCCTAAAATAGCAAAATATAAGCTGGGTATTGACTTAAACATAATTACGTGTGCCTATATTTTGGGTCCTAAATTGGCAGACAATCATGATCAAGAATCAAATCAATAGTTTTTGTTAATAGGTATTAGGTAATATGGTATTTATTTATTGTACTAGGAAGCAGCCAAGGGATATAATAGGAAATGTTAATAGTCAGTTCATTTATTTTTTAGATTTATTTTAGTAATGGAGACACAGATAGTTAGAACATAAAAGTATGGCATAGAGGGATATAGTTAGAGCTTTTCAGGTAGAATGGACTTGTGTATTGTCATCCAGCTGGACAAAAGAAACACCAAAAGTAAATGAAGAAGGGAGAAGAAAGGATAAATCAGCAATCACAAGGTTAATTTATATAACCTCTTACATCGTGTGTAATTCTAATATGTGAAGATGACCGAGGTTCCAGTACTCAAGATATGTGGAAATTCGGCTAAAAGAAGGCATCTGAACTAAATAATAATTATAAACATTGCTATGGGACAGGAAGAGTCATTAGCATCGATTTTCTGTGACCATGAATGGACCATGAATGGAATTGATAAGCATGGACAAACCTACCCACTTTTCTATTGCAGTCTCTTTAACCATGACATAATCAATTCCTTGTAAAATGTAGATGATCATAGGAAAAGGTCTCAAAATATTATTTAAGGAATTCACCCAAGGAAAAGGACATATATCAGAAACCATGTGAGAATAATAATTGAAGTCTAAGTAATTAAGCATTTTAACAATTCCAGGTTTCAGAGATACTGGATTAACTGAAGAATGTGAGGCAATATCATCAACATTTAATCACTAAAGAACTGATAGTTGTAAATTTCTAATTTTCTTCAGAATATATATTTATGTGGACGCTAACCTGCAGGTGTGTTTGTATTATGCTGCTACTGTTTGCCGATCGAAGAAGCTTGTTAGCAATCCGTGTCATATGTCCAAAAATTCCTATTCTTGGAGGCAATCTTCCCCGTGTAGATATGGTTGGCTGCAAATAAATGAACACAACATAAAAAACAATACCAACCAGTTTGAGGCGGCATGTGTATCGTACAAGTGAAAGAAACATGCAACCATGTACACACAACTGTATCTGGTGCATGACAATGTCATCTTTGTATATATGGGTACAGAGGGGCAGAATATGGACATTTGTGGAAGAGAGGCATGAATAGAAGCTTACAATTACTTGTAAATAACAGTTACCTTACTGCAATCAGCTGACAGTAAGGGCTGCTTTTCAGCATCAAGAATTTTATTGACAATATCGCAGTCCAAGAGAAGGTGCTGAATAAGAATATCACTCTTACTCTCTAAGCATAGCGCTATGATGTTTTCCACAGTGCGATGCAAAATGTTATTGAAAGGATATCTGCAATCGTCATGGAAGCAGAGATCAAGCTTCAATAATTTCATCAAAATAATTTAGTTAAACGAAACAGGCAACTTACTCAAAAAACATATTTAGGATATGTTTGATAGCTCCTCGTTCAACAAGTTGCCTTTCAGCAGCTTCACTACCAATCGTCAATAGAACAGAAATAAACTCCACAATCTGAAATGATGAATGTGGAGTTGCAATTATCATAGAGAAACTATACATAATGCTTCACTCCAGAAATAAACACGACAATCTGAAATGATGAATGTGGAGTTGCAATTATCATAAACTATACATAATGCTTCACTCCAGAAATTACAGTATACATACTGGAGAGAAATGTTCTATAAATTGAAAAGTGCAGTGACCAATATTTTTCTTTCCAGAAATAAAAAAACACCAACGTAACAGAAGAATAGATATGAAGATACATATGAAACATGGTGCTGGATCAAGACGTATAGAATCCAGAACTCAGTATAACAACCTAAAAATTCTGAAGAATCTTTCCAAAATTAATATGTAAATATATGCAAACCACGAAACATTTGATACTGGTCATGGATTTCTGTTCAAACAGAAAGGTATGCTCATATGTATATCACTAAGAGGGAACCTGATTATAGTTGAACAGTTGCAGATAATTTACTATGAATATGATACCTTGAGACGATGTCTTCCAAAAGGCGGCTTCAAGTATCCGTACGTGGTAGGAAAAAAAATTGCAGCAGAAGATACATCTAATAGTTTCAATAGATCACCTGAAAGATGCAAAAACCAACCACATGACATGCTTATTACTTAAAACAAACATAAGACACCCTTTGGAAATGACATCGATAACAATTTTAAGTTTGCAATTAACACTAGAAAAAGTGCCAGCATGGAACTAGTTAACACTACTTCTCTGTATATAAACAATGATGACATCAATAGAAATGGCTGCAATGGCATGCCTGACCAACATTCTTTCATAACCATCTGATCCGTGATAGCTTAAATTCATAGTAGACTGAGATCTCCTTAGCTCCAACATTCTTTCATAACCATCTGATCCGTGATAGCTTAAATTCATAGTAGACTGAGATCTCCTTAGCTAATTTATTGGGTGAAAACTAGATATATAAAAGGAAAGAAAAGAAGAAGTATGAATCACCATTCTCTCTACAGCTTTCTTAAACCCCATAATGAAATACAGGAATATAGTCACAGCACACTTAGTTTCATGTAATATGACGTCACTGTACATATTCAGGAAGCAAGTTTTGGCATCTCCTAAAAGCTTTGTGCAGAGAAAGTAGCTCATTCCATCTTTGCTGCCTAAATTGCATGATCTGATACATCTAGAAAGCATAATCTATTTGTATGTCTTCTCACTTCAAGCAGACTTGTAAGTAGCTGTATATAATGCCTTCAACATTCTAACCTCTACATGTAACCCTAGCAAACTTTTCCATTGATGATGGTAGAAAATATGGAAAGCAACTACAGCAAATTTGAAAAAGTGATACTGAAGGAAGGTTAAGGAGGAGGGGGAAGAAGCGCAGAAGAATAGTATCTAGAGGTTCCAAATTTGCTAGACAAACAACGGTTTGACTTAATGCTCTAGGAATAGCAAGACACAATGGTCAGCTAAGTAAATGAGGTTGATCCTGGCCTCTCATGCCCTGACCATGTCCTTAGGATCACCATATAGGCAACAACAAGATGCCTTTCAATGCTAAGATTGATTCAGATCTTTGGCATTTCAGTTCACGTTGTTTGGTTCAGAATAATTTTATAACTTTATCATACTTGATAGCAAAAAAAAAATGTGGGGCTGAACCTACAGCAGATGCATAAGCTATGCTACCATGTGATCGTGTTTTAACTTAACAGTTAGATAAATAAAGCAAAGCACGATCCTGTGGAATCATGCTCGTTACAAAGCAGCTAATACAGTGAAAGCCCACAACCTTATCTCATCAACTACATGTAATTAAAATAAAACAATGAGCAAACAAAAACGAGCTACACATGGACATGCACGCACAAGCGCGCATGATAAGTTGTAGCATTTATTCAAGTTCTTTGTGTGGTGCCAACCGTCATCTTCATGATCCCTTTGTGGCTTTTAATCTCTGTAGTAAAATTTTATGATATAGCATAAGATATGGTTGTAAATTCCACAAGAGAAAAATGATAAGTTTATTCTACTTATGTTACTCAGGTTACAGGTAAAACTTGAAAGATACAAAAACAACTATTAAGTCACAATAGTTTGGTAAAATGCATAAAAATTAACCAAATATACGGGCTCAGATTGTGCTTCACAAATTTGAAGGCATTTTTAAGCACCTAGATTGAGCTTAGCCACAATAGCCAGTATCTTATCAATAAGTATGAAAAACCTACTATGTGTGCTTGCGCATAATAGTTAAGACACATAAATAAAGCATTCTAAAATAAAGGATGCTTGAGCACACCAAAGTACTTAAATACTCAATTTTGAATACTTATGAGAAACTAATTCTAGAGCCCCATTGACAACCAAAATATGAGAAAATAATTCAAAAACCTCATAGACAAATAAAGTCTCCGTAAGTCGAACATAATATCAAAAACTACTCTTAAATTCCACAAAATGTTATTTCTACGTAAGTATTCTGATCTTGAAGTGTGTTGTAAAACAGTAGTTAAGAATCTTTTTCCAGTTTTTATTTTTCTCAATAGGTAACTAGAAGGATATAGTTAACATACTAGACAGCAGTACCAAGAAAGGATTTAAAGTGTCCTTCATAAAGATCAGCACCTTCAAAATAGTGATACAGAATAGAAATCATAAAGTTTAACTGCAGCTAAAGAAAAATAGTCAACCAAAGCCACAAAACTCCATGCCTTTCAAATACAAATATTTACTGTCTTCTGTTGGCGGTTTTAAACTCTGTTGGCATAGTGGCAAATCAAGGTATTATGACAGAACGAATAATATGTGCCTTGGAGATGAGTAAAAAACTAAACATTGCATAGAAAGCTATCTACCTAAGCTCTCCAGCATCCTGTCAACAGTTTCTGGATCAGCAACAACCAAAGATCCATGAGTTAATTGGCTCCGGAATAAGTTATATGAAGCTGAAACTAGTCTCTTAGGATCCAGTAAAGATATGCATATAGACAACGAGTGAACTAGAACAGACTTCGGTCTGGAATCTTCCAATGCATGATGAAATAATCTTCCCATGAAACTGCAAGCATACAGGATGTAAAACAGGAAAGCAAAGTATTAAATTAGAAACTTAACAAAAAGATAAAGACACCTAAAAAAGAAGAAGAATTTACGAACAGTGAGTGTTTTCACAATTGATGAATAGAACATTAATAGTGACCTCGAACTGCAAATTTTAGCAGCAAGTCCAGGAGGAGCATATTGAATTACAGCACAAAGCACTTCAGCTGCATTTGCATGCACTTGAGGAGAATCCTGTGTAGATATTGTAGAATACAATAACCAAAGAATCATTGTTGAAAAAAATGTGTCACATAACTCATTATTTCACATTATGTAACTTAAAAACTTTAAGCATTAAAAAACATTTAAAACACCTCAATCACATCTTAACTCTACATTGTTAAATTTAGTGTGTACTATTTTTATATAACACACACTATCTCAATATAACCTCTGTTACTCCAGTATCACTTATGTCATATCAGTATAACTTATGGTAGAGACCTGAAAGCATTTTCTTCTTTTGCTCCGTTTAAAACTTAATAGTTCAATAATTACTTTTGGAATGTGTGTTAAGCTTTTATGAATTTTTTCAATGTAATGTTATGCTAGCAGTTGTGAAGAATGTAGTGAATGTGGGACTCTGAATAAGACTATAAGAGATGGGAATTTGCGAAAGATATTAGAAGTTTATTATGGTACTTGTTAGTAAATTAGAAAATCTTGTATTAAATTTTATATTTTTATAAAAAACTTTAAATTTATATTTGAAATCATGCTCCTATTTATTAAAATTGTTGGTGTTTTTGTATTTGTTAAAAATATAACATAACAAGTAACCTATGTTACGAGTTACACCATATTCTCTTTAACCTAACGAAAGGCAGATTGCGAAGGACAATTAGATGCTTCCCATGTACACAATCTAATTCTTATAATGGGCATAATATGATTGATGTTTATATATCAATTTTACCTTGCATTTTTTGAAATATTTCTCCCCCACTATGACACAAAAACCAACTATTTTTTAGAAGGAAAGGGCCTTAAATAAAAGGAAAAGGTTAATCATGACAAGTTTTCATCATCACTACTTACAGATGAGCTGAATTTATCTACAATCATTTCAAGTACATTTGTGTCCTTTAACCACTGCATTTCATCAACATAATTTGCATTTTCATCAGCACCAATCAACCGAATCAGCGCCTGCTTAGAAGCCAATATCGGGATATATTAGTTCATGTTTAGGCTTTATGTAAAAGAAAGAAATTAAGTGAAAACAGAAGCATCTGTAAAGGGTAAATGATAAAATTATGAACATGTGTAGAAAAGCAGGAATACTTTAGGTTAAGAAAACAAAGGATATGAAAAATGGCACATGCGACAACAGCATTTGCAAGTTTTAATAGCTAATGCATAGAAATAATTTCCAACAGCAGGCAAGCACATTACATAAAAATGCACAGAAATAAGAAATATTGTTCCAACAGCATGCAGAAACATACCACACTAGATGGTTACCGTAACTGTAACTGAAATACAAGCATAAACCTCCAAGAAGACTGACCTCCATAATAGATGTGATGCCAATCAGATCAACCAGCTGCCGAAGAATTTCTTGATGATCCTATGTGAAAACAAGAAGGAATATAAAAATACGAAAGGAATCTATCTGATCCAAAAAAGGAAGCAGCCACAAAGTATGAATAATTTCTTAATGATTCTATGTGGAAACAGGAAGGAATATTAAAATAAGAAAGGGAAAATTGTCTAATCCCAAAAAAAGGAAGCAGATGCAAATTTTGATACAATTAAAACCATAAAAATTTTAGAAAAGTACACTAAAATGTTTTTCTAGAGAGAGAGGATCGCAGAATCAGTGTAAAATAGAGAAAATGACCGTTCTGGTATAAGGTGGCATCTGCCACAGGCACCTCTATAGAATACTTTTATAGATAATGCTCAGGAATTTGATCACTTGGAACATAATGGTTGGCTAATGAAAGTTTCTGTCCTATTACTTCATGTAACTAATAACCATAAAACAATGAGCAACACCCCCCACCCCAACCCACCTCCAACTTCCCCATCCCCCGAAAAAAAAGAGAATAGAATAGAAAAGAATATCCACCTTCAAAAATTGTCATCCTTTCACAAATGATGATGGCTTTAGAGTGACTAGTGAGCACTAACTTCAAAACAAAATTATTTCTCAGGCAACCATGATTCTGATGATATATCCATGTAAAATCATCAAAGAGTATGTTTGCAACCATGTTTCATGGAAGTCTGCAAAGTACTACAAATACTTGCATTGCCAATGAATGTGTAAACATTTCTTAATGTCATCCATGATGCATTCCTGATCTTGTTCATAACATTGTAAGCTGGAATATTGTCAAGCTTCTTGAGTCCACGATATAGTATCAAAGTATAGCAAAATTTCAAACCAAATACATAAAGGTTGATTATCCTTCCACTGATATTCCGCTCATTAAGAATAAAATTGGAGATCAACAAGTTTAGCATGATGGAAATGGAAAAATACCACAATGGTACTAATTGATGTTGGATTCTTCCAGATGACATATCTATACTACGTCTCTAGACTTAAGCTAAAAAAATTTAAAGAATCCATTATATACTTGACCTTCGCCTAAATATTCTTAAAGTACTAGAATTTTTCTCTCTTCTTTCTCAACATCTCCCTCCCTCATTAATCCAACCGAAGAGAAGGCAATGAGGCAGTGGCAAAACAAATCAAGAACAAAGCAGCATCAGTAGCTTCCTGTGTGCAAAATCTTGGTTCAAGAATATTATTCATATATCCCACATCAGCAGATAGCAGTTTCTGACAGATCCACTCAGGTAGACTTTTGATTCTTACAGTTTTTCCCATCTATTTACAAAAAATGGCCATTTACTGACCAAGATTTCAGATCTATGACTCTGATGTATTTGATTCATATGCAGGCATAACAAAGTGTGACCAGAACATAACAACCTCCTTATCTCTTCTTTGCTCAATTCTGGCTGTGTCCAAATGTGCCTCAGATACAGAAGCTCACATTATATATCCATGTTATCAGGAGTCTCAAGACTCTTCCACAATAGATATTTACAGAAAACAAACATGGATTAATCAGCCAATTGTTCCTCTCATGTAAAAAACTTCCACTATTAGCCAAAATTCTAACCAAAAATTTAAGTGTAAGGTATCCATTTCAAACCAAAATCCATCAAGCTTTAGCTTGTATTGCATTATCCACGTACATAAAGAGATCTAAAAGTTTATTCTTCCACCATTCTGTTTCATATGCTTGCTTTATTGGTAGTATTACTTCATTTGAAATCCAGGTCACGAGAAGTCCAATAAGTTTGACGGTCACGCCAGATAGGGCTTGACATTTTGAAATGATTTCTTCAATAAGCACAAGAAGTAATGATTCAGGATTACACTATTAGGCCATAGAGACTATGTAAAGAGCAAAAGGACAGTAAGCAAGTTGTATGCCGAAAATCAACATCCCTTTAATCCAAACTGCAACCATCCCTTGGTCCTAGAAGGGAAGATTTAACGACAGAATCTGGAATATTGAGAAAGAAAATGTCATTACTTCTTTCCACTACTAGCTTCACCTTTTCTACCATGCACAAAAGCATGTTACTAGAACCTATGAAATCACTGTTGATTATTGGATAAAACAAAGAAAGTTTAGGGCAGAATAACTAGAAACCATTGCTAATAAAGCAATATCTTAGAAAATGCTAGATCAGAACCACATCTTTTATATGGCCATATCCTAATAATAATGATAAGGAATATATTTTTCCTAAAATCTGTAGCTCTGCAGTAGCTTATCTTTAAAAAAAATTAATAATAATAATAATAATAGATCCCTCGTGCAAACCTTGGCAAGCAATGAACAAAAAGTAACTAGTTAGGATGCAGTACTAGACATTTGGTGACGAATTCATGCCTAGGATAAGATCTGTTGGACGTTATTTTACAAAGACCAAAACAAACAAATGCATCATTAAGAAGTTTGGGATCTATATTTGTTCAGAAGTCCCTTCTCTTTGCAGCAGAATTTCATTTAGCAATCCATGGGAGACAAACAAATAGGAGTCAACTGGATATCGTAAAATGATATCTGAAACAATTATTTATAGATTTATGTCCTCTTAATTCTAATAACATTTATCCTTGGGTTTAGCTACATGTCATGTCATAACAGTACAGCAGTAACCTGTGCCCTATCACTTTGCGGCAAGCACAAAGTGCAGGTCCCCTACCAGTGTTCATGCCTGCTTGCAAGCAGACCCTAGCACACCGTGCATGGGTTCAGCCAATGCGGCAGGTCAGGCTAAGGCAGAGGCATCAGGAAGTAGTGATTTCCCCCATTTCAACCTTTGGGTTAAATACAATAAACTGGCCCAATGAACTCCAGGCCTGATCTACCTACAGTACAAAAAATTTTGTCCCACTGTCTGCACTGGAGCTGCAAACACTTTTAAAGCTAAGTGTTGGAGGGGGAAAACTTTGTAAAAAAAAACCCTCTTGTTCCGAGGATGTTAGAAGACAAAATTCCTCTTACCCAAGTATATTCGGGTCATTAGGTAAAACCACTGTTATAAATAGCAGTAAATAGCCCCACAATAGCGACGCTAATAGCGTTAGTGATCCCTTCCCGCGACGCTATCGCCCGCTACGCTATCGCGCAATAGCGGTAACATATTGCAGAATATGTATGTTCACAAAAACGGCCAATAGTGTGTCATAACGATAAATAATGAGCGATTGCATTCGAAATTTGCTTTTTGACTGCTATTTAAAAGCGGTTTGAGAGTTATTTTTTTAAAATTAAACTCAACCATTGATCATTGCATTCCACCGTCTCTTATGATTTTCAGCATACTCCCGCCACCTCTCATAGCCTCTGGCACCTACCTTTATACTTCCTCTCACCTCCTTCACCGTGAGCTCCTCTTAGAGCAGTCCTGTCACCGCTAAGCTCTTCTTCTCGAAGACGACGACGTTTGACTCCTCCAGTCATCTCCGGTATTACGTGATGGTTACATGTCTATTTCATGTTTAGGATTTCTTTAAATCATCCAACATGTACTTTTAAATTTCTTAGATTTTTCTTTAATTTTTCTTTTTTTAGTATTTATACATATCTAAATTAGACCACTATTTGACTTTGCGCTTTTTACTGTTATTTTGTCGCAATAGCCCGGAATAGCCTTAGCGATGTCTCACCGCTACGCGACGCTATCCACTATCGATAACCTTGGATAAAACCAACACTGCTTCTTACTTGACCTAATCCTGTTTCTAACTCAAGCACCAATCTCCCTGACCAAGCTCGCTATTTTTCCAGGACTTGCTCTTAGGAAACAGTCCAGCCAATTTTCAGTCTATGTCATGAATAAACCTTATCAAGCACCTCGAGCAGATATTGTATTGTTAATAGCTAAAAAAATACTTGTGATGCCAAAGCTTAAACATCATTAGTTACAAGTTCAAAGCAACAACAAAAAATTATAAGTTAACACTTCAAGTATATTTTAGAGATCTGCAGAAAAAACCTGAATATAATTCATAAGTGCAGCTGTCTTCCGTAATGCTAAGCACATAACAACCTACAGCAAGTAGACAATAAAATAGGTGCATTGTTAGAATCAAATAATTTGCCAAGAAACCTTTTTAATATTTGACACTTTGCTCGATCCTTAGCAAATTAGGGACATATGAGAAAGAAAGAAAGCAAAATACCTTGCTAAAGTATCCAGCCAACAAGGTATTATGTTGATGATCCGGTTCCAAGAAGGAGAAAAGTATGTCCATCAACTGTTGACAGTGCAAGATAGCACAAGCAGATACAAACAGCTCAATTAAGTGAAGTCTATTCATGCAAACCAATAACTGAGGCTGTATAATCTGGACACTATAGAAACTCATATGCTCTTAAGAGATGAGACGCAGGTGTGAGAGCCTGCTACTGCTGGAGAAGAAGTACAGAACGACACAGGATCACAAAGAAAATTGCGAATTTTAAAGAGAAATGAAGTACTGGTGAAGGCGTATATCTTAGAGGTAAAACGCAGAGTTGAGGCATGTTTGTAGAGGCTGAATCTCCTTGAGGCGTTTTAGAGGGGCTAGAAAAGACGAAAGCAGGAAGTTGAAGCTGCAAGAGCATAGTTATCAGGACTGAAAGGAACGCAAAAAAGCTAAGGTACCGTAGTGAGCTGTTTTAAGAGATGAACTAAAACTGGCGTTGTTAGATCATGATAAACCAGAGTTCTGACACTTGTTTTAGGCTCCCAAAGCGCACAAAGATTGGAAAAACCGTTTTAAAGGAGAGATGAACTCTGCGATTAATAAGGCTGAAAAAAAAATAGAAAGAAGGCAGAGTTGGAAAAGGAGAAAAAGAAGGAGAAAGGTAAAAAGAAGGAAAGGGGGAAAAGGAAAAAGGAGGGCAAAAGGGAAAAGAAGAACCGTAAAACTACAGTAGACGTATTATAGTGAATGTTAAAAATAAAATGACAAAAAAAGAAAGGAAACACTATCAGCGTTTTGAGGTTATAAAAAGGTACGGGCTGGTTCCAACCATGTGGTTTTTAATGACACTTCTATGTAGCATAACCGAGACGAATAATACTGGGTCTAGTCAATTTATAACACATAAAGAACAGAAAGAGTAAGGTTACTTACCTCCTTGTCCTGGGCTTCGACTAAGGGCTGAAGGCTATAAACAATCAGACTTCTAAAGTACCAAACATTGCTCTTTCGCACAGGCAATAACGGGAAAAATCTGAAATATTAACGATCCGGCATTTGCAGACGGCCTTCAGACATATTTTACGAAGAATAGTCATAACTTTCAAATCCGTAAGTCAGTAATTGGACAAATTATAGTATGAAATCACTCTGACGAGACAGGTGGCCATCAGACGAGGACCAAGCTAAGCTTTGTTCGCTCCTCTGTTTCGCCACATTCCTTACGGTTTGCGAGAGATATCTGCGTCTAATCATGAAGAGACCGTCAATTGTAGTCTCTTTTGCTAGACGCTTCGCGCAAGCAGATCGTCCTTCATTGTAATCTTCGTCTTGAGCTCCATTACAAAATTACAGCAAGCAGTCGAGAGATATGAGTAAAAACTCACAAGATATTGTTGAACATTGACACGGGGGTGTTCCAGAAGGAATTAAGCTGCTTTGACACTCAGTTTTGTCGTGAAAAAGAAAGAGAGAGATGAATCTCTGTTATTCCTAATGAGAAAATCTATCTCTTCAGCATCTCATTTGTAGCCTCTACGTGAAGGAACTTCTCCTTACATATCAAATATTAACTGAAGCCCTTAATTGCTCTGCGAATTGTGACGCTCTCTACTTCGCGCAGAACTTGAGAACTATCTGAATACAAATATCGGGACAGCTTAAAGTTGTAGTAGGAAACTTCTCTTTGTGCGACTTATTATCTAAAAGGTGTATTGTCTAGTCCTGCACCCTGGGAGGGTCTAAACTATGTTTGGCATAATCGTTGAGGTTATAAGACAGCCTACATCTAAATGAACTTCTTAGGTGATCGCCTCACAGTCTACAACATCTCAGCTTAAGCCTTACTCAGGATTGACTAAATAGAATATTAACTTATAAGATGTACCTAGACAAATAACAGCAGCATGTATCTCATTATGGAAAAGAAAAATCAAATTCATACGATCCAATGCCTTATCTAGATGAGAAAACGTGTATTGTTATTAATTTATTCCATAATGGATTTATTGTGTGAACTGTATTTGCATATATAGAGATCTACTATTACTCTGAAGAGTTTACATAAAATTTTAGATCGTTTGAGGTGTATGATATTGATTATCAAGGTCTGATTGGCAAATTCGTTCAAATAAAATGCTAAACTATCATTTTAAGACACTCGATCGTGAGTCTTCACATTTTGTGAGAAGAATTTGATTATGGGCAAATAAAACGCGTCACGGCTCAAGTTATAGAATTTGACCATAAGCAATTTTATCTCTATATAGGCAAAAAGAGGACCCTAAAACGACTCTTTGTAGAAGCAGCCACGCGGCCCCTATATCCAACAAGTTGACGCGGACATCCCAAGGTGGGGCAGGGGTGGCTGGTTGGTTTACAAAAGAATCAGATTGATCCCCAACCCAATTTTGTAAGGGTTGCCAAACACATCTAAAGACTTAACAGAGAACAACTTTGACATGTTTACAACAGCTTCTTTTAATGAAGATGGCAAAACTGGAAACTACTAATGAGTGGTTCATTATACCAAATTACCATCAAGGTCCGTGATTGAGATTTGTTTGCATTGATTTTTAATGGATGCTTTCACGGCTTTTAATTGGCTTGACATTGAGGCCTTGCTCAATAGCAAACAGGTAATTTGAGTTATCTAGAATTCTCGGGTATGAGAGTCATCCTGGTTATGGCCTATTCTGGTTATGGCCTTTGTACACAACAAAAAGGTTGGTGTCTCATAAACTTATTTAACAGGGATGAGGTTTCTTTTTCCTTAAAATAAAAAAGAACAAGAACAAGTTCATACTTCATAAGTTAAAGTTCTGTAAACCTAGATTTTTCAGCTTCTTTCAACCACAAAAGTAGAAATAACTTATGTGCTCCACTTTCTCTCATAGAATCAATTCTCATGTAATATAGAGCTATAACCAAGTTTTTAATCTATTATCACTGTTTCCCTCACTTGTTAATGGTTATTTCCCAAACTTTTTTCTCTTGCATGTCTCTGATAGTCCAATTGTTCAAAAGTTCTCCAGCAAACTTTTTAATGTTAAATCTGTCTTTATAGGCAGTTAAAAGGTTAAAGTATGTAATGCCTTGGTTATGTAAAAAGACTTTCCAAGAAGCAAGTGGAATGTGGGTCTTCGAAGGACTTATCTAAGCGAAAAGCAACAACCAAAAACCCTATGATGCTTCTTCAAGTTATAACGGCACACATGGCAAGCCTCAAAATTTTTGAGGTGCAAAATTTTACGAATGACAATGGAACTGAAAAGATTGTAGTTAGCACCAATACCAACTAATTGCCAATTTTCAGTTGACTTTAATCATGTCATTTTCATTCAGGCAATCTTCCCAAGCCAGCTTTATACCCATCCTCATTTTATCCAGAAGTGTCGGGGAGCTAAAGTTTTTGCCCGACATTATACGTACTCCTAGGTAAAGCAATCTAGCTACTTATAAAGAAAAAACTGAGCTAACTTCTACCTAGTACTACTATAAGGTACTACTATAAGGATACCAAAAACATAAATAAAACAAGGTACTAATGTCACATCCACAAGGCAGATATAAAATCAATGGAAGACAAATATTGCATCTGTTTTTTGAATGCCAAACAGGCTCGATTCGTGCACGCAGCTGGGCAAGCACAAAAAGATACAAAGTCCATGCTCTTGTGTCCCCATTTGACACCAACTTCACGAGCCAAACAATTTTTTAAAGTTATCTTGAAACTTGAAACTGAACAAATCTGAATTCGAATAATATCTAATATTCAAAATTCATCAAGTGCATTGTCAAAATACTGACTTAGCATAGTAGATAAAAGAAGTGAATTTGGCTCCTTCTGGAAGATTTGTCAGATCTCTCATTCAAATCCAACTAGTCAAAGAGAATTACCACTTCAGTCAAGGGTCAACTTGACGTACATCATTTAGTGTGTTTAAATGATTTCAAGCTTTCTCACCTATCCACTACAAGCCCAAAATAGTTAGTAAGTATAACAACTTGCTTAGAGAGAATGTTTGAGGATCCTAATTGGGAAATATCCCTTTCATCGGGAATCCTATTCATTAGGATATAATCCCTTAAAAATCCATTGTAGTGTTTCACATCATAGATCTAAAAAACTTTGTTATTTTGGACTGTTCGTTCTTAAGGATACATGAAACATTAGCAATAAAACCTAAAGTTGTTTGATTTTCTGTTTTAGGACACTCTAATGTAGATCATATTGACGGAGTGGGTCTTCAATGTGATTTGTTAATTATTAGACCGAAGGAGCAAGTTTTAGACCAAAGGAGCAAGTTTAATCCAAAAACCTTTTTTCTTTCTTTTTTTTTTCTTTTCTTTTTAACATTGAAACACCTATTTAGTAATTTCGAACTGCAGTATAAGGTAATAATCTTAGTAATATTTTAATAGGGGAATAACGGCACTTCTGTGTAAATGCATAAATCTGGATAATAACAAATTCAACAAGATCAACTACTAAAATACAAATTAGAAGAATTATACTAGGGCCTACATTCCTATGTGTGATACTAGCAGAGCTAATATTACACTTTATTCACTCCACTGCTAAAAGAAAAAGACTCTAAATATGAATACATTTTGATGATAATTATCCAAAGATTCCAAACACATGTATAAATGCAAACAAGGAGATTCTGCATTAAAAACCCCCCATCAAGTGGTTAACCGGACGTTGCCTAACCACTAACTTTGTCCTGTTTTTCGAAGCTTACGTGCACCATGGTTGAGATTTGGATTGGATGATTTCTAATCTCGAAAAAAAAGAAAACAAGCAGCTAAGGCGCACCTACTGAAATAGCCTGAAAGCCTAGATTCAATGTTTATGACTTAAACAATCATGCTTCATATTTGTTTCTTTCCAAATGTATTACTACCCTTATCCCTCTTTACTTACAAAATGAACTTTCCTGCAGTGATATTTCTTACCAAATCATCTTAGAGTAGCTTAAAGGGTGTTTGGCTATGTGGTTTCATTTTGTACGTTCCTGCAATTAGCTAACTTCATATACCAACCAAGGTCTCCATGGCTCCTGTTCACTTCTAGTAAACAGTAGGTTACTGAACCTAAAAATATATATCAGTAACAGTTTTTTTAAAATCTAGTTGATTTGGATTTTCCTTAACTTCAAAAATTCCAAGAAAAAGAGAACTAATCTCCTCCTCTTCTCCTTCTCATAAAAAAACCTAATATTTTTCCTTCTTATCCTCATTATCAACAAACTTCTAATCCTCAATATCTAATTTGCTAGAACCCCAATTTTGTATCGAAAAAGATCACTTAGTGAAACTATAGTTAGAATTGCAGCTACAGTTAACAAACCATTCTGCAAACCTTTACCTAAAACTAAAAAGTGAATACGGTAAATAAATAATTACTAAGAAATACACAAAACTTTGTATCCTAATAAGACACTGAGTAACCCTATGAGCTATCAATCCCAACCTTCCAACGCTACAACCTTTTGCTATTGTAACTTTGATGCATACACCTTCAAGGTGAAAATGGTACATTTCAATTTTTGCTTTCTTACAACTAGAATGCATAATTAGCATTAGGACCATACAGAGCGGCTGATCATTTATTCATTTTCTAATATGTTATCATTGCTTTTTTGTAGTTTAAGCTACCAACAGAAGCCTCTAATTGGCTTGAGAAGCTTGAGGCTTCACCTGCGGTCAGCTTGGTAATAAAAAGCTTATTCAGACTTGTGCATTAACATAAATGAACAAGCCTAACAAAAACCTAAGCCTGATAAAATAAATGAACTACCTTGAGTTTAGGATAAAATAAATGAACTACCTTGAGCTAGCTAAGCTCCGCTTGCCACTTACTCAAGTTCGGCTAACTAATGGGTTGGATAGGTGGCTCAACTCATCAAAGACTCGATAATCTAGGATTGAGATTTTTTTTTAACTCATAAGGTGCGTCTTCGATTGGTCTTTAGTTTGATATCTTAGTAGGATTACAAGTGTTAATACAGTGATATTTCTTTTTCTAAAAAGAAGAAAAGTTTCCTAGTCTTCTCCTCGAAATAGAAGACATGTTTTTGCAGTGCATCCTCCCTCTCTTTCTCATTTATCACCACAAGGACTCCGACCTTTTCTTCTTCTTTTGTTGCCAATATTACTGCCTTCACATAATTAGAGAACAAATATAAGATTAATTATTTAGGAATTATTTGGATCGGCATATAGAAAATTTTATCCATCAAGAATAAGAAATTTCTATGGTTGAGGATCAAATTTTTATTATTCTTAGGTTCTTAGGAAATTTACTAAAATTTACTACTAAGTGCTATCATGTCATTAAATTATCACAAGTTTAATACTAAAGATCTAATAATTTTATTATTTTTGTTTGCATTCTTACTGTTGATTCGCTTTGTAAAATATTTGATCAAATTGTAGGCTCTTATCTTAATAGACGAGATTAAATAACTAATTCATTTTGAATTAGGATTTACGATATCACTATTTCTCTTTATAAACATATGGAAAGGAATAGAGAAAAGAATGGCTAAACGTAAAAATAGAGGCAATCTCCACCTTCCTCAGATTTGTGTTAGATAAGTTAATCGTGAGGTGATATGCGGTCACTTCCTGCTTGTCAAACGGTGTGGTTGCCCTCCGACCATTGATCAAAATGAGCATGGCAATCCTTCAAGCAAGATCTGTATTGGTAATCTCTAAACTATTGTTATAATTACTAGAAGCATGTTAGAGTTTCTTATTTCCATTGTGTATTCTTTATGTAGCATATCAGCCTATTGCAATTGCAAGAGGGCGACACCGGTAGCAACACTAGCATTGCGGTGTTCACTCGAGACTAGTCTAGTGCAAAGCTAAAGGGGTGAGCTAGGATTGCAAGTGTTCAACCGCAACTGTTGTTTGACCAGGGCTAGATTAGTGCAAAGCCAGCCTCACTCTTGTTTCCTTTCAAATTGGAGGGATTTTCTCAAATCTCACTTTCTAGTTCATTTTGCATCTTCTCTCCTCACCTCACTTTACTCTACTACACCTTGCCCACTAAAAACTCCTTACCAATAAGTACTTTTAATTTTGTCCCTTGGGTGACTCTACCTCCCTCCTACCAAACCAAGCCTAAAGGCTAGCTTTTAAGGGTGAGTTCTCGTCTCTTAATTTGAACAATATTACAAATGTATTTTAAAAAAAATTTGACAGCCTAAAGCTCGTTGAGTGCGAATGGCTAGCAAGAAGATGAACTTAACATACTCTAACAAGAATTAAAATTCAAAAAAAAAAACTATATCAGAGATACAAAAGAGCCGAGAATTACTAGCTAATGAGCCGAGAATTTCGAGCTTTTAACTCGTCAACTATTTCCTCCTCATCAAGAAGCTCTTCCAATGTAAAGTTCCCCTTGTCCAGAATAATATCCACCTAAAAATTCAACAAACAGCCCAGACTTCAACAAATCAAAATATCAATCGAATCAAAAGTGATGAGATCGAGCTGCTTACAGGCGAGGCCGCGATCAATCCGGTCATGCGCCAGAACTTCATCCTGCAGCTCCTGCTCCTGCTCGTAATTCTTCATCCAGTAACCTAATCCCCAGGATCTAGGGTTCCGTCGATTGATGAAATGCGAATAAATCAGCAGAAAAGCTTCCGGATCTAGGTTCGGCCAACATCGATTTCCTTCTTCTTTTTCCTTTTTCTTTTATTTATTATTTGGGAGAGAAATAAAATGCGCCTTTTGGGTTCCCGCATACTTGCGTTGCTTACGAGGAGTTCCGAGTTTTGACCGCGTGGTGGGTTCGATGAGTTTTTTTGAGACTGTGGATATATTTGCAATTTGAACCCTGTCTTTTCCTTTTTTTTTTATCCTAACCTCGTGCAATTATGGTAAGAATAACCGTTCGGTGAAAGTTAGAATAACCATGCAATTACGAGTTTCGAGGCTCCGTTTGGATATCAGGGTGTTTTATTTATTTCCATTGTGTTTTTGCTAACAACAAAACACCATGTGTTTGAAAACTATTGTGTTTTTTGAGCTAAATCCTCCTCAAACCAAGAACACAACACTTATAAACACTTTTTAGGTATTAGCTATCCGTTAAGATTTGTCTTTAAGTGTAAATTAAAAATGAATGCAAGTCAAACTGGATAGAGTTGAGTGTTAGATTTAGTAGCGAAGGCGATCCAAATTGGTTTACCATTGTGTAGAATATCGATATCAGTATTATGGTAGTATAGGTTTTCTTTTTTTTTTCTTCGTAGATAATGATACGAGAATGCTCTTCACAAAATTGAATGAGAAAAGTCACGAAGAAAAATATGCCAAATCTGAACAAGTAGAAGGATTGCTTCCATCTTCTAAGATAAGGTTGATGATCAATTTTCAAAGGAGATCCAATTTTCCTTATTCATGCTCCTTTATTGAAAGAATAATCTAAGAAATTTAAGTGTTACAACATATCTTTTAATCCACGGTTGATAATCAGTTTCGAACGTGCCATGATAAAATAAAACTACAGGTTTAGCTTCGTTTGGATATCATGGTGTTTTTTTTATTGTGTTTTTATAAAAAAAAAACACCATGGTGTTGTGTTTTTCCCTTAAAATATTTTCAAAACACCATGTTAAGTATTTTTGGTCAACACTAGTTTGACCCATTATAACATTAGTATTAAACATATTATTAATAAATTATATATTAATTATAATAAAATATATTGTAAATAAAATGTTATAATATTTAGTTTACATTATTATAGTATTATAAGTATCAAATGTAATGTAATATAATATTGTATAATGTATTATAATATTATATTATACTTTAATAAGTTATATTATATTATAATTATTATTACATTATAATTATTACATATTATTTTCAAATAATTATATATTTAATTATTTTGGTGTATCAATTTGTTATTGTTGTATATTATATTAATATTATCATAATAATGTTATTTTATTATTAATATAATATTACTATTATTAATATAATATAATATTATACTATTATTCATATAATATAATATTATTACTAATGTTAATTTATTTATTACTAGTATGTAATTAATAAATTAATATATAATATAATATAATATTATATTATATTATAATTATTACATATTATTTTTAATAATTATATATTTAATTATTTTGGTATATCAATTGTGTTATTATTGTATATTATCATTATTATTTTTATAATATTATTATTTATTAATAATATAATATTATTACTATTATTCATTTAATATAATATTATTAATAATGTTAATATGTTTATTACTAGTATGTAATTAATAAATTTAATATATTATAAAATTATTATATTATATATATATATTATAGTTTTTTAATATGTTAGATTTTATTAATAGTACTTTAATAAATATATTATATTTATGATATAAATATATATTATTATATTATGAATATTATTTTACATTAACATTTGTTTAACAATAATTATTTGTATAATAATTTTTTATCTTTATAATAAATATATATTTATTACATACTATATTAATATTTTATATATTATAATATATTTACAATACAATATGTTTTTATAATATTATTATTATATTGTTTATTATTATTAAATATGTTACTATTATATAATATTTTATAGTTATTAAATTATTAATATTTATTTATTAAAAGTTAATAAAATTATAGTCGATATACTATTGTATAGTATATTATTATATCATTATTATATTATTATTTATTATTAAAAACTTTTATTAGTTTATTTATATTTTATTATTATTTTTTATTATATAATATATTATTAACATATTAAATATTGGTATTTAATATGTTGTTATATTATTATATAATATATTTTATTTATTATATTTTGATATTATTTAATAAATATTACTAATATATTAAATTAACTATAATATAGTATAGTATAGTATAATATAATAAGCATGTTGATAATAACTCTATATTAATTATATTTAATATATTATATTAGATATTATATTAAGACATTCTCAAACTCAAAACCAAAACACCAAACTTAAGGCTTTGTTTGGATACCATGGTGTTTTCCTTGTTGTGTTTTTATAAAATAATATCATGATGCTGTATTTTTTCCTTAAAATATTTTCAAAACACCATGTTAAGTGTTCTTTGTCAACACTAGTTTGACCCATTATAACATAGTATTAAGCATATTATATATTAATTACAATAAAATATATTATAAATAAAATGTTATACTATTTAGTTTACATTATTATAGTATTATAAGTATTAAATGTAATACAATATAATATTGTATAATGTATTATAATATTATATTGTACTTTAATGATTTATATTATATTATAATTATTACATATTATTTTTAAATAATTATATATTTATTTATTGGTATATTAATTTGTTATTGTTGTATATTATATTAATATTTCTATAATAATGTTAATTTATTCTAAATATAATATTTTAGTATTAATCATATAATATAATATTATACTATTATTCATATAATATAATATTATTAATAATGTTAATATTTTGTTCTTACTAGTATGTTATTAATAAATTAATAATATTTTATAATATTATGTTATTACTAGTATGTTATTAATATATTATAAATATTTTAATATTATTTAATATATTATAGTTTTAATATGTTAGAGTTTATTAATAGTACTTTAATAATATATTAGTATTTATGATATTAATAAATATTATTATATTATGAATATATTATTTTTACATTAACATTTGTTAGAAATAAATTATTTTATTATTAAAATTTATTTTACTTTATAATAAATTATATTATTTATTACATAATATATTAATATTTTATATATTATATTGCATTTACTATACAATATGTTATTATAATATTATTATTATATTATTTTGTTATCATTAAATATGTTACTATTATATAATACTTTATAATTAATAATTTATTACAATTTATTTATTAAAAAGTTAATAATATTATAGCGATTATACTATTGTATAGTATATTA